GTGTAAACTTGCGACGATTATTGTTCCATAAACGTAACTTTGATCTAAGCATCGAAGAAAAGATGATGTATTCGAATGAAGCAGAATTCAAAGACATCCTCTATACTGAAATAGATTATACTGATAAATAATCAGAAATCGCAAGTGTAAACCAACCTTACACTCAGCGGGTAAGAGTTGGACAGTAGAGAGAAAAAAGAAAAACCTTCCAAAGAACTTTAACTAAAAGAAACTTTTTCGTTATCAACAATTTAGAAACTGTCAGCTCAGAAAACCTATTAAGTAGTTTGACATAGTGAGTCCGCACTCCATGAGTCCCTAGCTTGGAAATACAGGATTTTCTTCGAAAACAGCGTTCCGTACGGACCTTACTACTCCACGACTCCATCGCTAACAATCAAGTGGAAACTGGGATGTAGAAGTCGGAAGCAGAAGCGGAAGAAGCAAACCAATCACAAAGCGTGGAAATGAGCTTTGCGATTGGTTTCTTATGTCAGCAGAGAAAAGAAAATAACTTTGTCCGCTAACTTGTGCAGAGGGTAGTCGTAGGTGTATTTATGATAGTAGACAGGACAGGATAATGGTCCTTATTATCATCATTATAAGGAAATATGGAGCCTTCTGAGTTGGCATGCCCTTTTCATGCATACAAACCCATGTGGCACACGATGACTGAGAGTATCAGTGCTGTTCCTCAGTAATCAACTTTTTTGCTACTTTCAACACACTCTAGGCGATTAGCAATCCAGGCGATTTTACAAAACTAGTTTCGAACAGCATTAGTTGCTTTCCCTTGTGATAGCTCAACAGTTGCAGACAGGACGGTAAATTCTGCACCTATGTTTTCCCCTTCGGTTAATTTAACAGACTGTGATCCTGTTGATGAAAGAGACACGTGCTTTAGTTTTATGAAAGCAATGAATACGTTGAGCACAGAACGAATAAGGTTATTTTTAAATAAAACCACTGGAAAACGTTAGGCATGCTGTCATTCCTTGTCTTGGCTTATAACTAGAATATCTACTAAGTACATCAGTTTTCATTGTTATCAAGAGCAATATGTCATTTTCGTTCTCTGATATTTTTCAATATTTTTCGAAGTAGAAAACATTATTGTAACTTGCTCATGGGATAATCTCACTTACCTGAACATCCATACCAACGTTATCACAGCGAGGACAGCGAAACTTGGAGAATGAAGGGAACAGGCTGTCGATTAAATGGTAAAATTGAAACTGTGAACACAACTGGAAAAAATGTATCTTTGTGTGGATTGAATTTAGGTGTTAGCCGGCGAGCAAGTTCTCCATTTGGAGATATATCGTGAGTCAACAATCAAGCAGCACGCAAAGGGAGACATGAGTGTCAGGGGGTAGGAAGGAAAATCTTTACCGCTCCCTCGCGTGTTCTCTTACGGATCGCTTCACCCATCACCACTACTTGAAATGAAGAGACTATTCGCAGGCTAAGATCGGGTAGGTAAGGCTGTTACTTAGCAACGTCGGTGAGGATAAGTATACTCCAAATTAAAAGGGCTGGTTACCAGTCGCAAACGCTTAGAAGAAGAGAAGAGGCACCACAGAATAAAACGAAGAAAAGTTTTTAACGAGGACCTCTCCCGCCGTTAAACTGCCAAACCAAATCTTTTAAAATGATTAATCTGCGCAACTTAACCGCGTTGAAAGTGTAACTTCTCGGTGGTTTAAAAGGACGCATTATGGTGTGCTCACACATTTATTTGTTTATATTTGTGGTTGTTTTAAGGGTCATTATAAAAGTCTTTTAGTTAAACGTAAGTACGGTTTGTTCTTTAACGTAGCTTTCGCAAATACACGCGCCTGAAATTATAGTTAAAGTTCTTCTCTTCCTTAAACTTTAAATTTTATAATATTTTTAGCCTTGATTCAGTTGCTTAAAAAGGTTGTCACCCTACTGCTAAAAAGAGAGAAAAGTCAACGCCCCACTACAAAATAAACTCATTGACTATTTTCCAATTGCCCATAATACACTCTGTTTGCCCCCCAAATTTTGCATAACTTATTGTCTTAAAATGCTCTTGGGAAAATGCAATACTCCCAGGAGCATTTAAAAACAATGGTTTATGCAGATTTTGGGGGGCAAACAGAGTGTATTATGGGCAATTGGAAAATAGAGAATGCACTTCTTCATAAATGTATCCATTTGGGATAGCCAAGGTTATTCTAAAACCATAGTCAAAAAACAGCAGCAAATGGTGTCAAATACATGCTTTGTGTAAGACGGTCACCTTTGTTACATTGACAAGTGCCTTTCACTTCACCAGGGCAGTACCCTTCCTCTTCTTTTTCGGACAAAAATCCTTGACATTCGCTAGGCGGACTGCAGGTCCCCATGAGTTTAATAGGGCCTCCAGCCCCATCGCAGCACACTCTTTGGCATTCCCCATCTTTGGGCTCGTATACCACAGTTCTACCTTAAAGAAACAAACAAGCACATAAACATGATCATAAGTGTCTGCTGTATTACGCTAGGGGCTACTCCGCTACGGAAAAATAATGACGGAGGTGCTCCCCTGAAAGGCACCATAATCTCGTTTTATGGGTGGGGCCAAGAGTTAATAATGATTCTGAAAAACAAATTAACTGGTATTAGCGATAAAGACTGTGATTCAGTGAACAGTAACACATACTTTCTTTCATTTGTTAGTTTAATACCCTTAAATGCTAGGAAAAGGTACCGCAATATCATAAGGGGTTGACAAGCCTGACTCACGCCTTCCACCCCTGTGTTTACAGCTTTTAATTCTCAGAGTTTAGCTTTACTAGCATATCCTTCAGCGACCTTCCTCGTCAATTTTTGGAGGTTCTTCGTAGATCTGTCTAAGAATTGTTTGGTTCGCTATCAGTCGCCAGTGTTTCATAAGAATGTTTTTAAGACTAGGAACTGATGGTTGATAGTGCGTGACAAAGGGCAAAATGGTTTTTTCTCTTGAAGGTTTTTGTTGGAGTGCCTCTTTCCCGTTTTAAAAGTGTATTTCAGAGAAAGTTGGAGTTATTTAATTCTGTGGATATCCCTTCTCTCTAAGGTGCTTTTGAAATTCTTCAAGTCATTTTTGAAAGTTTTCTTTTGAGGAATTTGTTCTGTGTAGCCGGAGGGCTTCGCCTTTTACAAAGCCTTTCCTGACCCCTTCCTAATGGGTGGCAAGATGAGAAATGTGTATATTGAAAATGTTTCAGTTGGCTTAAAATGTGTTCTTACGTCGAGAACTGACGTACTGTTAAACCATTTTCCTTCGTACACAATTGTATCCAGAAATGTGACTTCGTTCTCAGCGATTTCTGCAGTGAATTTAACAGTAGCGTGATGATTATTCGCTTGTTCAATGAAGTGTGTTATTTGTTCTTTTCCGGTCCGGGGGGGCACTTCGAGAAAAATTGGGTGGGAGTGAGCGGCACACTTCCTAAAACCCTTCAACTATTTTAGACCAAAATCTGTGATTTTCCCTACCCTATTTCAGACCTGATCAAAAATTTGATACCCTGTTTCAGACCTTCCTTATAATCAGTTCCCTAGGTCAGACCAATGTTAACGGAAATGTTTATACACTTTTACTTAGCAGGATACAAAACTGTACAGTTACGGCACGTACACGGTCAGCGTAAAAATTAAAAGGGAAATGGTCTTATTGCCTAATGACGAAGAAGTAGCTTCTTCTAAAAAAACATACCCAATTCAAGACTAGACCGCACAAACCACTATTTCAGACCAAAATGGTCAAAATTGATACCTTATTTCAGACCAAAACGGCTAAAAAGCCATACCATTTGGAGCCGCACATACCTATATAGCCCATATAAGAGAGTACCCCCCCCGGGATTTCGGTAACGCAGAGAGAGAAGATGTCGTCCATATATATTTTCCAACGTATTGGCTTTATTGCACTTTTGTTTAATAGCTCTGTTCCTACTGTTGCCATGAAGATATCTGCGAAAGCAACAGCGACTATTGTTCCCATCGCTGTCCCATGTGTTTGAAGATAATTTTTGCCATTAAATTGGAATGTGTTTTCTGCTAAAATGAGTCTGAGCGCTCGTTCAAGTGACTGTGTTGGAATCGGAAGTCTATCTTTGTAATAAAAGCCGATTAAAGCCGATACCAGAAATTTGAGTAAAAAATATCAGCAAATTTTTTACTAGACTCGATTTTCTTTGAACGGTAGGGTCCTTTTAAGCGCTAATTTAGCAAAATATATTTATCATCAATGAAATCGGAATATTTCGTATCATTGCCGAATGATATCTGTTGTTCTTCGCAAAGTTTCTCAGCCATCGCGTTAAAAACGAAAAAGTTATGATGAAAACTTCGTCACAGCTAAATGCGCCTGTATTAATGTATTGAGGGAGCCACCTTAATACTATACACAATTTTGAGAGCCATCAAAAACAACCCACCTGGTGTGACTGGTGAAGTACTAGCTGAGACATTGGTTGAGGAACTGGGCGAGAGTATGACCGATGTACTTGTCGATGGGCCAACCGAGGTACTGACTGACGTACTAGGTGGATCACTGGTTGAGTTACTAGGTGACATGCTGACTGATGTACTTGTGGACGGACCAACCGAGGTACTGACTGACATACTAGGTGAAGCGCTGGTTGAGACACTTGTTGAGGTACTAGGTGACATGCTGTCTGATATCGACGGACCAACCGAGGTACTGACTGACGTACTAGGCGAAGCGCTGGTTGAGACACTTGTTGAGCTACTAGGTGACATGCTGTCTGATATCGACGGACCAACCGAGGTACTGACTGACGTACTAGGTGAGACGCTGTGACTGGTTGAGGTACTGGGTGACATGCTTTCTGATGTCGACGGACCAACCGAGGTACTTACAGACCCACTAGGAGACACGCTGTTTGAGACGCTGGGTGAGGTACTGGGTGACATGCTTACTGATGCACTAGTTGACGGACTAGCTGAGGTACTGACCGACGCACTGGCTGAAACACTGAGAGAGTCGGAGACGGTTGATTGTGCCTTGGTTGCACCTAACAAACGCAAACACTGCCTGGTGAGTTTTTATTTGACAACACCTACACAGGGAAACAGCGTTCAAGACCTCGACCTTTATGTGACCAAAATTAGATAGGAAAAGATTATGAGATGTACAGCATACTTGCCGGAATGGAAGGTTCTCTACTGAGCAATTAAAACTTACCTCAACTCATATGAATCATTACCGAATTGTTTTAAGTAAGTGTGGAAAAATTGACGGATACCAAAAAGAACAGTTGATTTGAAATGATAAAACCCTAAGTTTGCAACGTTATATGTGTACCTAATCACAGTCACGTTTCATAAAATTGGAACTTTTAACGTCTTTTGACTTTCATTATCAAGTTATAATTTGCTTTTGTTTGTACAAAAAAAAGTTTCGTTAAACAGGGTGGTATTAATGGTTAAGGACGCTGATCTTTGCTGGACCTGGTCACGTGTTTGAATACCACTTGGTAACGGCTCGCTTGATGGCAAGACATCCAATCGTTTATTCAGATCCGAAAGCGTTGAGTGCGATCGGGCGATGCCTTCCTTGTTTAATTCAAACGTCTTTTAAGTATTCTAGTCTTGTCATTTCGGTTAAATTCCAACAGAATAATAAGACTGCGAACGCTTCGCTCAATCACACTCAAAGCTTTGTGATCAGGGCTAGAATGAAGGCTTGGATGGCTTGCCATTCAGCAAGCCGTTGCTAATTGGTATCCAAGCACGTGACGAAGTTAATTCTGCTTAGGGCGCTTAATTGAAGGTGTTAACCGCGGATTTAAGTTCTCGCACTGGCGACAGAGTGGATTTATCTCTACAACTGTTCAGACATGCTCATCTCTGATATAGACCAATTCATTCTTGCCCTGATGTTTAGATTTGAGGTTATTTTGGTCCAAAAAATTGAAGGTTAAGTTTAGCCGCGTCTTTAATAAGATATAAAGACACTGACTGAACAGTAATTTTCTTTGTTCTTTCTTTATCAATTATTAATGAATTTTTGAACGTAACATAATCAACGAAAGGTTGGATGGTAATTCATAGTTTTTGTTCATGCTAAGGATGAATTTTTAAACAATTGCTCTATGCCGCGCCAAACTCAAAACCTTAAGATGTTTTGTTGTTAATGTTTTTTTTTAATTCTATACTTTCGTGGAGGGCTTGAACTCCTGTAGCCGTAAAGTCGAGCTGATTTTGCCGCTCTGTGGAGTGCATCCAGGGGCACCCAACGAGAATATAGTTCAAAACCACTTAAACATAGCATCGTTGAACGTATTTTAGTATTTAAACGGTAGATATAGACTTATTTTTATCCCCTAAAAAGTTTTCATCTGTTCGGATTTCCTAGCTGAAAGTCTAGTGA